TATGTCCCATACCCCTGCAAATTCTTGGAAGCCACAGGCTCGGCTGCAAGATGGGATCAACAGCCCTCCTTTCCAAAACGCCCCGCTCCGTCTCTCGCTCTCACATTACCTTTTGATTTTCCTTCTCTTTTACCTCAACGATGCATGGAGGAGGAACAAGGCCGTTTGCACGACACGCAGGGTGAGGTCTGCGCAAGTGCTACTGCCACTCCCTGTGCATGCCGTTGCAGGAGCGCGATATTGATGCACTGCTCGAGGGTCCTGGGTATCTTCCTGGGACAACTGCTTGTACACACCGATAAGGTCTGTGAGAAGATCCTGTCAGCTAACACCACTTGAGCAGTCTCCAACGCCGATGACAAACCCTGCTGCTGCAACATGCCGTCGCTACCTGCTTCGCGCAGACCGAGACGAAATCACGCATCTTGTGTGCCGCCGCACGACGCACCATGGGCGTCTCGTCAGCGCACAGCATCGTAAAGGCCTGGCAACCGATGCAGGACCAGCAAGTCAAGCTTGTCAATATGAAGTGCCCTCGGCACATTGAGAATTTCCCCAAAAAACGTCGCAATGGTACTCGGCGCAAGCCCATTTTCTGATCGTCTTTCACCTCATGTCTTTTGCGACAGCGCTAAGCGAGTAAGGCAAAAGCAACTCCCGCGAGCTCGCGGGCTCGTGAGCTCGTGACGTGGCGGTAGGCAAGGGGAAGAAGCGCCTCGGGAGCAAAAAAGAAGCGAAGAGCCGCCTGGAGCCCAGAGGTGCCGCTCAGGAGTCCGCGCAGGCAGAGACACGCGCAGTGAAGAAGTCAGTCTTCGTGGCCAGGCGATGAAGAGTTGGCACCTGAGACAGGAGCCTCAAAACGTCTCCGTCTCCACGACGGGCAACGTCACACCGCTGAGAGTTCTGCCAGATGCTCCGGTGCCAGTGCAGGCCTTCAAAGCTCAAGTTCTCAAAGGCGCAACGTCTCCCAATGTCTGGGGCTTGCAGAACTGTTTGACCAGGGAAGCATTCTGGGCACGTACCATTCGACTGAATTTGGCGGAATGTGTAAAATAGCGCAGCCAAGAGCTTCGAACCTCTACACAGAAGCACCAAAGCATCTATCAAAGCCAGGCCTCGTGACACGGAAACACAGACAGACTCAACGTCGCACCAGCTGCTGAAGTGGCCAACAAAACCTCCCTTTCTTATGCGATCGCGAGCAAATGGCGATGTCAGAAAGTTTCAATGCCTCAGCCTTACCCGCAGAGCGGAGACCCGAGGCTCGGAATAAAATTACAATACAATCAGATAAAAAGTCAGAAATGGTCAGAATCTGAACGAGTGGCACTCTCCCTCTATCTACTCATCCGGACACGACGTCCTGGCAACTACCGCCCTGGCTTTCCAACCTTCCTGCAACTCCCACATGACATACCGTTGAATAGGGGCTGCTTTACGGAACGGTTTGCAGAACGATTTCTGGTCCTTGGATGAGTAGAAGTATGCACACTGCTGCTCTGTTGCCTCAGCTCTCCACCCCGTTTAGCACATGTGGGCTGTAGCATATCCACGGTTGGTGGGGAAGTGAGGACGAACACAGACATAATGACATAAACACTCTGGTCTGTGGTTAAAAGCTTACTGCAAGGGCATGCCTCTGCCTCTCTGAAGCAAACTGCACTGCATGACCGAGTGGCTCGGCTGCCACAGTAAGAATAAGAGCTCTTCAAACGTGGAAAACATATTCGTTTATTTTGCAGTAAAATTCCGATTTAAAAAAATGTACAGTATGTACCCGCCGCTGGCAGGTGGACTTGGGAACAGGCACACGTGCCGATCCACGCTACATGTGCAAAGCAGCCAAATCCCATGGAACAATGAGGAAAAAGCATGCAAACATCCGCGAGGAACCGATCTTGCCAGTAGGCCAAGTCCAAGCGTTCGCTTGACGGCCATTCAGCTCAGGGTTCAGTGGATCTGGGCACTCATCATGTCGAGAGCTTCCTTCAGGCAGAAGACGGGGCCCTGGCTGCTCAAGAGCTCCAGCACCTGGCGCGGCGGCCGCGGCGGCTACAGTTTAAAAAGGGGCACAAAACCAACGACGGCCCACCTTGCCACGCTGCTGCGCGGGGGCCTTGGACTTCGCGGCGAAGTCCAGAGCTGTGCGTCCACGGGACGTTCTCTGCGTGGGAGGTGCTCCGGCGGCTAGGAGCAGGCGCACAACTTCACAATCCCCCACCTCAGCAGCCGAGTCATGCTGGAGGTCTTATGCTACGTGCACCTCGAAGCGAGAGACAGGCTGTTTACAGCAACCCTGCCTTGGCCGCCAAGTGAAGTGGGTAGATGGTCTCGGCTCGGAAGAAGCAGCTGGACCCTAAGCGTGGCTCAAACTCGTCTGCGAAGCCGTTTGACTTCAAGAATTCCTGCAACCGCTCGCGTTGGCGCAGCTTCCGCAGCTTCGACTTCGCCCTTCCACCCAAACTAGGAGGCTCCTTCTCTTGCTTCTGCGATTCCTTAGCCTGCAGTTCGGCCACTTTGGCATTTCCAGAGTGCAGCCAATTAGCCACACTCTGAATCGAACATCTGGTCGACGTGCTGGAGGTACCTGTCGTACCAAGCCGCTCCTCCCATGAGTTCACAACCGGACAAGGGCTCGTCATCACTGCAGATCTTTTCGCAGGCACAAGCATTGCTGTTCCAGCCGATACGGCTGCAAAGATACGAACTTGTCGAGCAGCACATTGATTGCTACACAGAGTGATGTATAAATCTGCTAAAAGAAAGCCGGGGTGTGGCTGTGCCAAGCCTCTTTTCAATGACCTTGCACAAGGATTGGATAGCCTGGCATCACGCGCAGATTTTGTACGACGAACACAGAAAATGCTCTTTGCCTGGTCTCGGATGACCGTCTCCTCTTGGGCTGCCAGGTGCTCCAGGGGTGCTATAAGCCTAAAAACAGGCAACCACACCCTGACCTTCTGAACAACACAAGAAGAAAAACTGAGCTGATGACAAGTCGTCGTGGCCGTTGATGTAGTCAGACAGTACTGCATACTGCCTGGACCATCCGATCTAGGAATACCACGATGTCAGGAACTGCGAGGCAAATGACGGATGCATCACATGCATTTTGTTGCCAGCTCCAGAAACGCCCCTTTGCCATCTGCCATCCGTCTCTACACCCTCGACACAATGAGACGGCCTTGCCATTGAGTACAGAAACTCGTCGTCGTTGCACAGAGGCTCCTCTTGCACCACCTGTCAGGGTTGATGTGTGAAGAGCAAACACAGGCAATGAATCAACCAATACACACGAAAAGTCGGATTCTGCAACCACATTGCTTACTGGCTTACTTTCTTGCCGAGCAAAGTGACCAGCAAGTCAAGGTTTTGGGCATCCGACCACACCTGTACGACGTATGGAATCAACTCGGCCACCGTCCTGTTCGGCCCTAGGGCCTCAGCAGTTGCAAGGCCTGGACATGCCCCTCTCAAGGAAAATGACGTCACATCGCATGCACATCCGCTAAGTAAACAAAAACCAAGCGGTACCAACACCACCCTCTCCCAGGCATATGCAGGACGCGTCGGCTTTTTGCGCTCCGTACATCGCCCTTGAGGTCGCAACCGAAGCGATGAGATGCAGGTTGTTCACGGCACCTTACTGTAGACTGCACCGTGTGCTCCAGCAGTCCGCTGTTGGCAGTTACTGGGGCATCGAGCTTTTGCCTTTCGCCGCAGTCTGCTGACATGCGCAGCACTGGTCGGATCTGAGGGAGGTGCCAATTTTGATGGTCGCATTCTCATTTCTGATTTCTTCCTTGAAGAACTCCAAGTAGTTGAAGTCCGTGCCTGTGTTTCCTGATTTTCGTGAACGGACAAACAACTATCCAGAAGTGCTTCAGGAGATAACATGCCTCGGCACGAGATACAGACCTCAGCCCCTGACCAGCCATGGCTGGTGATCACTTGAGGAGCTCACTACGAAGCTTGAGCCCTCACACCTTGTGCGGCATAACGTCCGCCCGGCTGTGTGCTACAGGTAATGCGATATCACTTCAATCGTCACTGCAAGAGCCTCTCATGATGCAAACCTGCACAGAACGGGCAATGCACTACTCCTTTTTGGCTTCCAGATGCCTTCTGGATGTGGCTCGAACCGAAATGCACAGTCGCAACCAGGCCTTTGCCAAATCCCAGTTCTGAGAAAGTTGCAACTTCAAAAACTCTGGGTGGAAACAGCTTAGACTGTCTCACCCTCGCCGCTTTTGCCCCAGTGGTCCCAGCATCCGTTGCCCTTGCGCTGGGTGTAGTAAGCGGCGGCTCGCTCCTCGCCCTTGAACGGCACCTGATGTTTTCGTGCTTTCAAACGGGGGCTAGATTCTCCCCGCGCCCCCTCTCCCTGCAATTCTATCTCCCGGCCTTGACGTATCCTGCGTACTCCTCCAGCTCACCCTTCTCGTTCTTCTTCCAGGTGTAGGTGTAGCTCTCGGTCTTCTTCGCCGGCTTCAACGGAAGGACATACAGGCCGCTAGGGTGAGACATCTCAGGATCATCCTCGTTCACCCACTTGGAGCCAGCCATGCGCACCACGGCGCCCTCCGGCCTGCAGCCCTTCAGTGCGGATCCGGTGAAGCTTGGGCCCCAGGCCATGTAGGCCAGGGCGCCCAGCACCAGAAATCCAGATCCAGCACGGCGATTCATGGCGGGATCGAAGAACGGCAAAGCAAGCAGCGCCGAGCCTAAAAACTGCGATGCAGATGCCAACCAAGTACATCGTGCAGGCCATGAAACAGCAGAAAATCAGTTGGCCGCGTCAGACGGCTGCGTCATTGACAACACTGCTTGGACGTCTGGCCTTCTGGTCCGTGTCGGCACATGCCGGTGTACGGCTGTCAGAAAGAGACAAGCCCCTGGAACGGGCTTCCTCTAAAAACAAGCTGAGCTTTGTACAAGTCACTCATGCAAAGATGAGCGATCTTACCCCGTAAACCGAGATGGAAGACATAGTCCTCAGCTCAGACTGCCTCTCCCTCGCCGCTTTTGCCCCAGTGGTCCCAGCATCCGTTGCCCTTGCGCTGGGTGTAGTAGGCGGCGGCTCGCTCCTCGCCCTTGAACGGCACCTGATGTTTTCGTGCTTTCAAACGAGGACAAGATTCAGCCCCAGATTCCCGGCGCCCCCTCTCCCTGCAATTCTATCTCCCGGCCTTGACGTATCCTGCGTACTCCTCCAGCTCACCCTTCTCGTTCTTCTTCCAGGTGTAGGTGTAGCTCTCGGTCTTCTTCGCCGGCTTCAACGGAAGGACATACAGGCCGCTAGGGTGAGACATCTCAGGATCATCCTCGTTCACCCACTTGGAGCCAGCCATGCGCACCACGGCGCCCTCCGGCCTGCAGCCCTTCAGTGCGGATCCGGTGAAGCTTGGAGAAATACCCCAGCCCCAACCCTCGAGTAGCTGTCCGACATGCCTATCGAAAGCAAATCATGGCGAGCGCCAGACGGCAATGATGTACAGATTCTTGGCACCGCTGTTGTCAGCGCAGTTCAACAGTGTGGCCACTTGGCAACCCTGAGCCATCCTGCATCGGTGCTCCGTTCGCTCCAGACTGCCACAACTGAAGTATGCAGATACCTGGAAGGCCTCATACCCGAGGCCTAAGCACAAGACTGTTCCTGAACGCAACCTCTTGCATCTAAAACATCAGAATTTCGCGTCCTCATCTTGCATTGCTTGGCTGCGCGGCCCTTCTTCATGATGGAGTCCTCTTTCCTGGAGGCTTGGCCAGTCCAAACGACTCGGGGCTTACGTCTCCCTTTGCAGTGCTTGATTTAGCCATTCACGCTTACTTGGCATCTCCGGCTGAGGCCTATATTCTGTGCCAGCGCAACGTTTGCAGACGAGCTGCTGCAGCGCGCAAGCGCTGCACAGAGCCGGCGACGGAGCACAAAACGCTGCGGACCAGATTCAGTCGTGTAGCAGTGCAGCACTGCAGCCATGTGTATTACAAAAGCCCGCTTGCAGGACCCAGACTGTATCTGCTGATCACCAGCCGGTTCATCTTTCCCTCCGCAAACGCATTGTGCTCCTTGCAACCGGCTTCTCAGCAGATGGCGGGCGCCTGAGACATGCCGGCCCCGGCGACATGCTACTGGCAAGACGCAAATGTCACGGGTGGCTGAGTTCCCTGCGCACGAGGCGATCTTGGGCCAGAGCTCTGCACACTCCTTGGCCACTGGGCCCTGGCACAGGCTGAAGACAGCAAAACGGTAAAACGCATCGGCATCCTCGAAGCCTCGAAGTTCAAAGAGCCGGCACTTTCCGATCACTCGCTACTGAGAAAGCGCACACAGCCTGGATAGCAGAGCCCTTCATCTCACCCTTGTCGTTCACAATGACACCGGCGTTGTCCTCAAACTTGCAAGCGGGAGGGCTGTTGTTAGACTATTGCCACCGGTCCTAGCGAAGACCCCTGCATCACCATCTGGTGGAGGATTGGGCTGCGGGGAATTCATCTTACGATATCCTACAGCTCAGAGCGACCCAACCAAAGCCACTACATTACTTGCTGAGTCTTTCCTATTTATCTGGATCTCAGGCTGTTGAAGTGCCACCTGACACGCGACTGAAGCTGGATCCTCGCATGACCCGTCTCAAAACCGCAACCCAGCATGTGAGAGTCCTCGAAGTAGACGTACACACCTTCACGACGTCTCCAGGCCTTCTTCTGACGGATGACGACCTCTTGCGAAACGTTCTCGCATGCATCGGGTTTGGCAAGCTGCCCAGACTCAGTGACTGCCGGCTCTGCTTACGAAACGATGGGCCCTGGACTCCTTTGAGCACCTTCTTGCGGAGTTCGGGCTTGCCTTTCTTAACACTGCACAGCACCTCGAGGCAGTCGGGTGTCAGATCCAACTTTCCGACAGAAGCATGAAGCTGCGCACCAGATCGCCCGGAGAACAGTTCGGCAGCTTGTTCAAGCGACCACCGATTCCAATGACCTTGGCATTCGAAGGGCACCACTCCGACTAGAAATACCCCAGCCCCAACCCTCGAGTAGCTGTCCGACATGCCTATCGAAAGCAAATCATGGCGAGCGCCAGACGGCAATGATGTACAGATTCTTGGCACCGCTGTTGTCAGCGCAGTTCAACAGTGTGGCCACTTGGCAACCCTGAGCCATCCTGCATCGGTGCTCCGTTCGCTCCAGACTGCCACAACTGAAGTATGCAGATACCTGGAAGGCCTCATACCCGAGGCCTAAGCACAAGACTGTTCCTGAACGCAACCTCTTGCATCTAAAACATCAGAATTTCGCGTCCTCATCTTGCATTGCTTGGCTGCGCGGCCCTTCTTCATGATGGAGTCCTCTTTCCTGGAGGCTTGGCCAGTCCAAACGACTCGGGGCTTACGTCTCCCTTTGCAGTGCTTGATTTAGCCATTCACGCTTACTTGGCATCTCCGGCTGAGGCCTATATTCTGTGCCAGCGCAACGTTTGCAGACGAGCTGCTGCAGCGCGCAAGCGCTGCACAGAGCCGGCGACGGAGCACAAAACGCTGCGGACCAGATTCAGTCGTGTAGCAGTGCAGCACTGCAGCCATGTGTATTACAAAAGCCCGCTTGCAGGACCCAGACTGTATCTGCTGATCACCAGCCGGTTCATCTTTCCCTCCGCAAACGCATTGTGCTCCTTGCAACCGGCTTCTCAGCAGATGGCGGGCGCCTGAGACATGCCGGCCCCGGCGACATGCTACTGGCAAGACGCAAATGTCACGGGTGGCTGAGTTCCCTGCGCACGAGGCGATCTTGGGCCAGAGCTCTGCACACTCCTTGGCCACTGGGCCCTGGCACAGGCTGAAGACAGCAAAACGGTAAAACGCATCGGCATCCTCGAAGCCTCGAAGTTCAAAGAGCCGGCACTTTCCGATCACTCGCTACTGAGAAAGCGCACACAGCCTGGATAGCAGAGCCCTTCATCTCACCCTTGTCGTTCACAATGACACCGGCGTTGTCCTCAAACTTGCAAGCGGGAGGGCTGTTGTTAGACTATTGCCACCGGTCCTAGCGAAGACCCCTGCATCACCATCTGGTGGAGGATTGGGCTCCGGGGAATTCATCTTACGATATCCTACAGCTCAGAGCGACCCAACCAAAGCCACTACATTACTTGCTGAGTCTTTCCTATTTATCTGGATCTCAGGCTGTTGAAGTGCCACCTGACACGCGACTGAAGCTGGATCCTCGCATGACCCGTCTCAAAACCGCAACCCAGCATGTGAGAGTCCTCGAAGTAGACGTACACACCTTCACGACGTCTCCAGGCCTTCTTCTGACGGATGACGACCTCTTGCGAAACGTTCTCGCATGCATCGGGTTTGGCAAGCTGCCCAGACTCAGTGACTGCCGGCTCTGCTTACGAAACGATGGGCCCTGGACTCCTTTGAGCACCTTCTTGCGGAGTTCGGGCTTGCCTTTCTTAACACTGCACAGCACCTCGAGGCAGTCGGGTGTCAGATCCAACTTTCCGACAGAAGCATGAAGCTGCGCACCAGATCGCCCGGAGAACAGTTCGGCAGCTTGTTCAAGCGACCACCGATTCCAATGACCTTGGCATTCGAAGGGCACCACTCCGACTAGAAATACCCCAGCCCCAACCCTCGAGTAGCTGTCCGACATGCCTATCGAAAGCAAATCATGGCGAGCGCCAGACGGCAATGATGTACAGATTCTTGGCACCGCTGTTGTCAGCGCAGTTCAACAGTGTGGCCACTTGGCAACCCTGAGCCATCCTGCATCGGTGCTCCGTTCGCTCCAGACTGCCACAACTGAAGTATGCAGATACCTGGAAGGCCTCATGCCCGAGGCCTAAGCAAAAGACTGTTCCTGAACGCAACCTCTTGCATCTAAAACATCAGAATTTCGCGTCCTCATCTTGCATTGCTTGGCTGCGCGGCCCTTCTTCATGATGGAGTCCTCTTTCCTGGAGGCTTGGCCAGTCCAAACGACTCGGGGCTTACGTCTCCCTTTGCAGTGCTTGCTTTAGCCATTCACGCTTACTTGGCATCTCCGGCTGAGGCCTATATTCTGTGCCAGCGCAACGTTTGCAGACGAGCTGCTGCAGCGCGCAAGCGCTGCACAGAGCCGGCGACGGAGCACAAAACGCTGCGGACCAGATTCAGTCATGTCTGTCAGGAATGCATGCCGGCCATGTTCACGAATGTTGCTGCATTGCTTGCAGCAGCATGGCTGCGTTCCATTTTCGTCCTTCGCAGCAAACTAAGTAAGGCATGGTTCGGTCGAAGGACCAACAGGTCTGAATGACGTCACGTGCGTCCAGAACCAGATTACGCCAATGCTCACACCCAAGGACAAACACATGATGGCGGTCATGCATCATGCACCGACCACACACGCTGTAGCCCACTCGTCGCACACGCCGTCTTCGACAGTAACCGGGACCAGGTCCTTCGAGGCGGACGCATTTCGCTCTCTCCTCCTTGCTCATCACGAAATCCGCTCGGATCAGAATAAGAACTCATCCGCAATGTAGTCCGAGCTCTGTCCAGCAGGCGGTGTTGATGCAACTGCAGTCACCTCCTCTGTGACCCCAGTCACCTCCTCTGTGACCCCGATCGCCTCCGCAGCAAGGAACTTGCAATGACAGGTTCTAGATTCTAGATACGCCACACGGAACTATTACAAGGAAGCATTGCAAAGACCAACGCGGGAAAACCGTGAACATCCGCTGTCACCCCTGTCTGTCCTTGTCCTGGCGGCCACATCCATCCAGCCATAGACTCAGCGATGACGACTCTTGGGTTCGGATATGGCCCGCTGACTCTGTCCCAGCGAAGCTATCCTGATCAGCGCCACTCTCTAAGTAAGTAGCGTAGGAACTTGCAGCAACATAAAAGTCTTGGAATCGGCAATGTATCATACACTGACCAGGGGCGGAGGGCAGAGAATCACACGTTAGGTTCATTCGCACGAAAAGCGCACCGTGACGGATCTCCTGACATTGGGACGTCCACTCAATTGCCACACAAACTCCAAACTGAGACACAGACTTCTCTCTTATGCCTTATGCAACACATCACTCGAGGAAACATGCAAAAAGCAATGCTTACAAGCAAAAGCTGAGCTGACGCGAACGGCTCCGTTGGAAAAGTTCGCTGGGAAGGTCGCAATGCACCTCCCACCACCTGTGCACTGCAGTGAACCCATATCATGTCATATCAAAGCATGATGCCAGCCAGTCACCTCCTGTGCATCTAAATTGGCCCTAAAGTGTTCTGCAAAAGTACTCCACAAACCACACACTTATGCACCTCCACTTTAGACTTTCTTAAAAGCAAACACACCATTTGCATACCCGAAACCACGAGTGTGACTTTGCCTGCGGAACTCCTGAGCTACATGGGATTCAAATTTCCATCGGGGCCTCGTGCCCACTTTCTACTTGAAAGCGGCGTCCGTGCCAAGGGCAACGTATACACAAACCAACGCCGGGCAGGTCTTCCATGTCACCTGCCGAATCAGCATGCTTCCTTTGCAAATGAACACGGCACGAAACCGTCTTGCGCAAGAAAAAGAATGCAGTGCTACACGCTGTGGTGTGCCACACGGTACCTGATTCAAGTGGACCCCCTCGATGCCCACACCGTGCGTCCATCGCATACCTGAAGAATCGGCACACATCGAGATCGTGTTCAACGTCGACGCAATGGAAAGACCCAACTTGAAAAATAACACCAGAGTTACTCGAACATCTGGAAGTTGGACTTCAGCACATAACACCGACAAGTGCTGACACATGTGCATCTAGCTGCACGGTTGCGGTGCTGTCGGCAACCAGCAAAATGTGTCGCATGGGTGAACCAAGCTTTATCACCTGCAGGTTGCGGCCACATGTCGATGAAAAACACCAAAACTCCAACTTTACGTTTCAAATTGCCAGGTATTGGGGTTTTTGTTGTGAGTGCAGAAAATCAGCCGAAGCGGTCAAAGAGTCCCTCGAAGATCCCGCCGTTTCCACCCCAGCACCCTGTGTTGGGTTTCGAAAGTGCTTGAAAGCCGCGAACCGCTGTTTGCTCGACGGGGTTGAAGAAACAGTCGAACAATCCATCGGCCTTCTTCAGGTGCAACCGGCCGACGGAGCGACACGAAGCGTTTACAACAAAAGCACTTGGGCCTTGAAGCCCTTGCTTGCAGTCCACTGCACCATGTCCTCCGCAGGCACTGCCAAGAGCCAATCTGCATCTGCATCCATCGGGGCTGGTTCAAGAATGCGTTTAACATAGTGCACGAACACAGCTCACAAGCAATGTTGCTCGTTAACCAAACCTTGTTGCAAGAATTTCCACGAACCAGATCTTCGCATTTGATGCGAGACCCAAACTTAATCTCAAGCGTGCGAACCATTGCTTCAACCATTTGTTCAACAGCTAAACATGCTCATATGTGCATATCATGGACTGGGTGTTGAGCTGTTGTTGTCGGCAACCTCGAGCAATTGCTTTCAATGCCTTCAGCCGCACGGGACATGACTGAGTACTGTTGGCCACCATGGAACATGTCAGATGTTTACGTCATCAAAACGTGAATGGTGCTTGGCAACGATGCTGACCAAACAAAGAACTTCATGGACTCCACAGAGCCCATTTTCATTTTCAACAAAAGCAACACTAATAAAAAATGATCAAAACACACACGCTAATCTTTTGCAAAAAGGTCTCGTCAGGCGTTAAGCGCGAGCGGAAAAAGCCTAGATGAAACGACAAACAGGCCGGAAGTCCGCCGAGTTGGTGTGGGAAATCCAACCGGAGGAACGATTGCAGCCGCTGCCAAACAGCACGGGGCCCTCCTAAAAGCTTAAATGGGGGGGGTCCCCCCCCAACTCCCGTTTTTTGTAAATTGCAAACTCTCCGCGCCTTTGAAGCCGCCTAAACCGCTACTTCAACTCCAACTCTTAAAAGCTCAATGTGGGGGGTTGCACCCCCCTCAACCTCCGCTTTTTCTAAATTGCAAACTCCGCGTCTTTGAAGCTGCCTAAACGCAAACCTTCAACTCCAAACCCAAACCGTGCAAAGCGAGTACAAAAAGAACGTGAACAGACGCCTTCTTGGAGATGCCACACGAAATCGCCCAAGAGCTTGAAAGCCAAGAAAACAACGGCCCTGCAGCCTCCCAGGTGCCCGTTTTCGACGTTCAGAAGCGCTTCCTGGAAGGTGTTGACTTGAACGTCATTCCACCTTGGACTGTTCCCAGAGGGGTTTGAGTCCGGTGCACGGACTCACGTGGATCTATGGCGTGTGTTCGTGCTAGCCTGTTTCCATCATATCTTTTCATTTAAGCTCCCTAAATCAATTTCGTGTGGGCGTCTCCTTTCGTGTGGAGAAGATCCTCCTTCAAGTCTTCCTCAGGCCTCCTTTTCAGCTTTTCTTCAAACCAATCCTAGACCTGCCTTGTAAGCCCTCCTAGGTTTAACCTGGATTTGAATCTGGGTTGTAACCTGGTTCAAACCTGGGTGTCTGGGTTGAATCTGGGTTCATTAAAACCCGGGTTCCAAACCTAGGTTAAAACCTGGGTTTCAAACCTGGGTTGAAACCTGGGTTTTAAACTGGGTTTAACCCGGAGTTGAATCCGGGTTCGAACCGGCGTAAACTCTTTCAGACAGGCTTGGAGCTCAGCTTTTGCCACCCAAGTTGAATCCAGGTTTCAAACCTGGGTTCTCTGGGTTGTTGTTGTTCCTTCTCCCCCCCGGGGGAGGAAACCCAGGTTTAAACCTGGGTTAAACCCCGGGAGCGGAGGGGACCAGCCTCTCTTCCGGAGCGAACGGGCTTCGCGGCCAATGGCCAGAGAAACAAAACCTACAAACCTACTACAGTCTCCAAGCTGCCAGAGGCCCATGGCAGACTGTGGTCACCACCAGCTGCCACCAAGGCCCAGGTGCATGACCTTTCAGCTCACACCTACTTCAAGTCACCAAGCTGCCGAAGGCCCATGGCAGACTGCAGTCTCCACCAGCTGTCCCCAGGACCCAGGTGCAAGACCGTGGTGCCAGACCCGTGGTGCAGTCCGCGCCAAGCGATCCACAGGAGGTTCACGCTACCCGGGGGCCCATCCGCGCACCGGAAAGGGGACGCCTCCCACACGCTTGGGCTGACAGACAAGAAGAAGCGATCCACAGGAGGTTCACGCTATCCGGGGGCCAAGCCACGCACCGGAAAGGGGGCGCCTCCCACACGCTTGTAGGTTGGAGAAGTGTGCCACGAATTCAACGGGCATGCAGGCTGCACTTCCCTATGTGACTGATTGCTTCAGTGCTCTCAAGTGTGAATGGCTTTCAAGCCAGTGGGACAGTCTTTCCTAAGACCTCAGGCCCTAAGCCCAAACCACTAAACCTCAGGCAAAGCGAACGACAGCTTAAGTTGGCGGGCCTGAGAAGCAGCAGCTTTTGGTTTGGCTTTGGGGTTAGCCTTAGGTTTAGGGACAGGGCGCAAAGGGGAGCTACTAGCTGGAAGCGATTCATCCTCAGGACGTGCAGCTCCAAAAACCTTCGTCTTGGTGGATTGAACCTTTGGCTTTTCTAGCTGTTGAGCTGCCTTTGGTGCCTTGCCCTTTTTCCTGGAAGGACCTTTGCAAGGATTTTGCAAAACAAGTGTGGTTTTGGTTGCCGCTACTTTGATTACAGCCGAGCAAGACTCACAGATCCAACAGGAACCTCGGTTCTGCATGGAGTGCGTGTGGTGCAGCACCCAATCGGTTGGGAACGCAGCTGGAATCCCAATGCATGGGTGGTTGATTTTCCTATCGAAAATGGCTGGGCTATTTAGTTGTTCGATGTACAAGTTGCAATGCTCACAAGACACTGCCATGTTGACAGCCCCAGTGGAGGCCGCCACAGTCCTGACTTTCCAGGAATGGCCCTTGCCAAGCTCAGGATGGTCAAGAAGGTCCTGGAGACGTCGGCGTTTGTTGGCTTTGGGGGGAACCGGTTCAACTGAGCTAGTCGTCTTACACCTAACAGCTAGACGGGCAGCGCCTCTGGGCTTGTTGAAGGCCGGGCTAGGAGAGACAACCGAACTCGAAGCCCTGGATTTTCTGCGCTCAACAAAGTACATCGGCGGTGGGTCAAGCTTGTCAGGGAACAACAGGGACTCGGCTCTTTCCGCTAAGAAAACCGAGATCGAAGATGCTAGCTTATCAGTTTGGCGAACTTTTTTAACAAAACCCAGATCAACCAAGCGCTCTGCTCTCTTTCGGCAATATTCATCCGCAACACTGTTGACATGCCGTCTCCAGAGCTGAGCAGTTCCAAATTCCTTGCTGAAAGCACTGCTGTCAAGGTGAGATCTCACCCAAACACAAGTGATGCGGGCATCAAGAGTTTTACGAACTTGCTTGATGGCAGGTTTACAATCTACCGTCACATCAACTGCACCTGTAGTTCTAGAGTTCAGGACCTGGAGCGCCTTGGCTTCGCCTTGAACTACAGAGGAGCCGTGCGGGAGTACCCCTGTGATGGAAGCAACCAAAACTGGTTCTCCCGAGACCCATTTAAAGGCAGTAACCGCAAAAGTGACTATTCTTAATCTCGCGTCAACACTGTTGGGTCCCCCTGATGCGTCTGTACCGAAGACCAAGCCATCGGCGCAAAGGACAGTGTGTTGCTGCCATGCTCCAGTGCATTCTTCAGCGACATCCTCTGCAAGTCTGCGAGGGGTGACCCACTCAGCGGGGACTAAGGCGCGTTCCCAAAAGCAAGGACTTGGATAATTGTTTCGGAATGAGTCCCAGTGCTTCGGAGCATCACGGTGTCTGGATTTCCAGTATTGGCAGTCTAGGATGACATGCTTCCAGGTAGCTGGAACCTGACAAAGCGGGCAAGTGTCGGGGCCACCCGTGGCGTTGTGCAGGATAGCACCCTGCCAAACAGCTTTGAGGGAAGCTGTCGCACGCTTCTTACCTACTTGGGTCTTAAGGAAGGCCCTATGACTAGTCCAATCAAGTCCAGTTGAGAGCAATGGACTCTCAAAGGTATCAGCAATGCGACTGTGACGCTGAGACAGTAGAGTGTCTCGGAGAAGCTTGACAAGGTGGCTCTGGAACGCAGGATCCTGCCACTCACAAGTGATACTTTCGCCAGCCCGGTGCCACTCCGAAAGTGTGGGAGCTTGGAACCCAAGTTGCATGAGGTATGCCTGGGCCGCCGCTAAGGGGCCGGCAACACGTTTCCAAGGGTACTCGACTCCACTGAGATGAGCCCATGACTCAGCCCAAGTATCACTCAAGTGTTCCCAAAGGTCAAGCGGCCATCTTTTGAAGCAGCGCGCTATGGTGGTGAAATGTTGCTGAATGATTGTGAGCAGGGGATCAACAAATTTCGGATAAAAGTCATACACAACATCTAAGTCACCCAGTTTGTGTCTCCCAAGCTGCTGAGCGCCACAAGCTCTAAGCCATCGCAGGCGCTTGGGTGACAAGCCTTGGGCTTGGTGGCCCCAGGCAGGAGCTTCCTGAGTTTAAAGGCCCGTTTTTGACCTTTGCACTCCCTGCCTTTGGCAACTGTGACTCGACGTCTTCTGGCAGCGGCATAATCCGTGCCTAAATCCCTAGCTAAAGCCTTAATGGGTGGATCAGTGTCCTTTCTTAAGGCGGCAAGGGCTTTGGCAGTTTTAGTGTCAGACACTACCCAACAAGTTTTGGAAGCGGAGATGGACAAACCTTCATGGCTGAATGCAGAATCAAGGAGGCAGAAAGCTTTATAGGATCGTTGCGCGGCTTTCAACGGGGCCCGATCCTCAGTATCTGCGCTAACATCATCCAACCATACCGAGGCATGCTCACATAATTTGCTGTCGTGAAGCTTCTGCAGAACTGGGAAAACTGCAAGTTTTGCCAAACTCGGGGCTAATGGACATCCTGCCATTAAGCCCCTAGAAGCAAAGCAACGTGGCGAGGTTGCTCCCTCTGCATCAATATATCGTGCGCCACGGTAAACTCCTAAAGCTACTTCGACTAAGACTGGGGGAAAGTTTTGTTCCAAGGCTTGGGTCGCCAGTGCAGAGTGACATACTGATTCATAGAAGGTTTGAAGATCTATGAAAATGGTTGATCTGCAGATCTTTTTGGTTTTGCAGATTTCCGCCTGAATAAGGCGGCGAATGCTCACATCTAAAGGCGAATAGCCAGGCAAAGCAAACTCCCACGGTGCCTGCACCGTGAAGGTTTTTAGCCATTTTTGAACCTCCCCCAGTCGAAGCTTCGCCCACAGACGGTAAGCAGCGTGGCACAATGCAATCGGGCGTTCAACACTATCATTCTTGGGAAGCATCGTGACCACAGTGGTGGCCCACTGTATTGGGATGTCACCTGACATTTCTACATCCCGCATGAGTTGCAACAGTGCCTCAAACGCTTCAGCAGGTAAATTCTTAAGGTTTTGGTATGACCAACCATCCGCCCCTCCGGCCTTGTTGCTTAGGGAGAAGAGGCATTTCCTGGCCACATCAAAATCAAACTCTGGGAGTGCTCTAGCATGCTGCCGAGCGATGGCTGAAAGGTCATCCGACACATTGCTGAGAGGTTCAGGGCCCGCCTTCCACAGTTGCGCCCAGTATTCAAGACGCAGATACGGGCGGAGTTCAAGGCCCGAATCCCTGAAAGGACGGGTAGTAATGGCTTCGGCACTTTTTAATGCTCGGAAGAGGGGTCTCATGCCCTTTGCAGTTGCTCCTTGCAGCCACTCCTGATACGCGGATTTTTTATTTTGAAGTTGCTTCGCCAAAGCATCTTTATGCTGATTGTTTAGCTGCTCCAACCACTCCTGAGACGGGCTGGACTGGCAGGAGAAAATAAGCTCAGCTTCAGCGCACCACGAAGCCGACGAACAACCTGCTGCGTAAGTCCAGTTGTCGGAAACTTCGGACAACATGGCCTGGGCAGGTTTTAACATCTTATTCGGACTCCATGACTTGTGCTGCGCCCTGTGGGCCCAGGCACGCATTCTATCCCAAAACGACAAGGTGCCACTAACCCAAATCCTAGAGGGGGAGTGGGTCCTAATTAAGGGCCGGAAACCCGATCCCGGGCCGTCCTGGATGTCAAATGCCAGGCCGACAGCCGCCGACCATGCCGCAAAGCGGCATGAGGCTGAATCATGCACATGTTGGCCATCCCAAACCAACGGGCTGAGGACCTGATCATACTGAAAAGGCTGGACTGGCTTCTCAGGGATTTGCTTGTACCGTGGCAGTTGTGGGAAAGTCATGTCACAGCTGCCCTCGACAGAAAGCTGCAGTAAGCCATGCGGTCTGAAAGGTACATCCCAACGGACTGAAATTGAAATTAACCCACTGAGCTGCTTGCTTACAAGGGCGTAATCAAGGGTGGCGCCATGGTCAGTGGTTGGTTCCGGCGGTACCACAAGTGCAGCCTTTGCTTCTGACGGGATGGTGGTGCCAGCCAGGTCTTCCGCAGGAACATTAAAATCCCCAACGGCAATCCAGGGTACGGCCAGGCCCTGAACCACAGACAGGAATTTAGCGAAAATGTTGCTGTTGACCTCCCCTTGCAGGGAAGATCCCGATTGGAGGTAGACATTGAAAATGATTACAGACCATCCTTGAAGTCGCATTTCATCCCCAACAATTCCGCAACCTTCTTTCAAGATTTCTAAGACTTTGCGGGTGTTTCGGTGAGCTGGGGAGACTGTGAGAACTCCTCCAAGGACGCCGCCTTTCTCAGAGCTCTGGCCTTGACCGAAATGATGCGACAGGGCAGCTGATGACATCGCTGCCGCAACCTCGGGGATGTCCTTAAGCAAATGTGTTTCCTGGATACAAAGCACCTCCCAGGAACCGCACGTGCCCAGCAGCCACTCTTTTATCTTAGGACCCCAACAAGTAACATTGGCCGACAAAATCCGAATCGTGGTTTTGGTGACATCTTTTCGTCTGCTCATCAAATCAAGAACGGCTGGTCTGGCCCAAACAGGGTTGGCAGACGTAACCACACAATTTAGAAGGTGCGTGCAAATCCACCATTCCAAGGAATTTGGATCTGCCTGGTTTTCGACATGCTCTGCAAGTTCAAGGAAACGAGGCTCGAAAGCGGAACACCCATGCTTAATCGCCCCTTCGACAAGGACTGCAACAATGCCCCAATCAGGTGAGGCATGCGGGCCCTGGCACGGGTTTAAGTTGAGGAAGTCTTCTAGAGCGCTCGGTGATTGCCGTTGCACGTGTTCGGCAGGAGTGTGAGCAGCAGGCTCTCCACTCGGCAACACCTTGGATCGCCTGGCATGCCTGCGCCTCGACCTCCGTGAATGTTTGATGCCGGGTATTGACTTCAAGGGCTCTATTGGTGCATCCAGAGCGGCTAAACCCGAAATTTCCCCTTCACTGGCAACTGCTGGAACTGCTGAAACTCCTGCAGACCCTTCTTTATGTGAAAATGCATTTTCTCCTAAAGATGGGTAGGAGGACGGCGCTAAAAGCAAGGGCTCTATTGATTCAAGAAAACCGGATGCCTCACTGAATGCATTGCGGAGCTGGCGATTGTATCGCCGACGGCCCCGCCGGGACCGAGCTGCTGGACTGGGGGAATCGTCACACTCAGCAACATCGAAGGATGCTGGGAAGAAGCGGGGCCCAGTCAGGTGCCAGGTTGTGGGTTTGCACTGCTGACGCGCGCGGAACAACACTGCATCGCTTGACTCCGCTTCCCTGTGACCTTGGTCCTGGTTGGCCAGGCAGTAAATGCATTTATCATGCATGTCATGCAATAAGTTGTCAAGGTCCCGTATCTCGTGAAGCATTTGGGCTGCTTGGCATGCCATGGTGAATAGCGCAACCTGGGGCTCACGACAAAACGCGCATGCAGGCTCACACTCACAGCTCAAGCACATGATCGGGCTTGCTCCCGGAGGTCGCTCAAGGGGGCCTGCATGTAAAGAATGCCATGGCAAATTGCGAGTGCCGCCTTCAGGGCGCACATCGGTAGCACATTGATGGAAATTTCCTGGCTCAAGAGAAACACCTGAGTGAGCGCATCCAAGAAACCTAAAGACCCTTCGACCCTTGCACAACAAGCTGCCTGCATTGCGTGGAAGGCGGGTTCCAAGTGTCAAGGTTGTGTATGTCGTGGATGCAGTGTTCTCAAAAGCCCTCGCACACGTCTCACACAATGTTGTTACGAGCTGGCCGGCAAACCCCATCAGCCTCTAGGCTTCAGGCATGGCATCAAGGCAATGCTCGCAGCTAAAGGTCCGATTCAAGACAGGTGCACTCAAACTGCTGGCAGAAAGCTCCTGAAAATACTCATGCGGGCCTTGTTGCAGCCTACTTCCGACGGCCTCTGCCCCACCACACCTCAGAGTGATCGGTTGGGTTTCATTTTGGGCCAGGCTACCTGTTACATCTGCTGATGGAGTAATGCTAAAGCAGCTCTCTGCACAACCAGTGAGAGTCAACTGCTGCACAATTAAATCGCGGAACTGGGATTGCTGGAGGTTATGAGGAGACTCTGGCACATGCGAGTCCCATCCCATGGAACAAGAAACCCCTATCCAGGAAGAGAACCAAGGGATCCCAGCAAAACCCTGGGTTTCAGCAAAATGTACAAAACTTCGCTGTCGGCAATCCTGATCATCAAACTGAATGTTGCATTCAACGGGTTTGCCCGCGCAACACGCATCCTCTCTGGCACTCCGAGGCTGGGACCGGGACATCGGGGCTGAGGGTAAGGCTGGCTCACTGACAGACAAGCGTTCACGCTCACTGCTTCGGCAGGACAAGCTAACATCACTGAACTGCAAGTTACCAAAACCCAGCCTATCCCCATCCCCTCTCCCTAGATCCTATCCCTGCGAAGGCCCTTCGTTTGCTTGCGAAGCTCCCCTGCCCCTGCTTCTGGATCGACCTTTGCCCTCACGTGTCGAGGAGTCACCTGGGTGGCCTCGGGGGAGAGCTTCCGTGGGATCTTCTCTCATATTGGCGTCCGGGAGTTCAGCCTGCTTCCTGAGGCTGGTTTTCTCCTCTATGGTGGCACAGAACCTTGCCTTGAACGCCTCAAGCTGCTCTAGAGGCATGGTCTCAATCTGTTTCGCAAGGGCACTCTCAATGTCAAGCCTGGATTCCGCAACTTCCGCTACAACAGAACTGTGCAACTGCTGCTGAAGCAGGGTGACCTGGTCCTGTTTGCTGCAAAGGTTTGTATCCAGGGCTTTCATGTCATTGAGCATGCTGGTGAACAAATCTTTGTGCTTGTTGATTTTAAGCTGTAAAGCTGCTTTTTTCATGATAAGTTCTCTCAATTCGACAGTTGCTGTTTTGAATTTCCTGCTGGTGTCATTAAGCTGTTCAAAAGCAGTGGGCGGCTTTTCTGGTGGGTCTTCAACCAGCTCTCTGATGGCAGGAGGGAGCGCTGACATGTGTTTCTTACACATTTCAATCAAGTCTGGTTGCGGTTCTGCCGGCTCCAAGAAGCCACACTGCAAGAGAAGCTCCTTTTGTTGATCACTAGCAGACTCAAAGAGCGCCTTGACCGAATCATCTGTGGCACTGCTGGAGTCAGGGGCCTGGCTAGCTCCTTTGCCCTTACCTGCTCCACCCTTCGAAAGGCGAACGGATCTGTTTGAGCCCTCCAATCCAGGTGGCGGTACTGGCTGTCTGGGCTGCCAGCCTGCCTGCTCAATGGCCTGACGCGCCGACGATGGAAGAGTCTCCCAAACGGTGGATAATGCACGCTGCGCTGCTCCTGCCGGTGCATTACTTGCCCGAGGCTTAGGAGGCCTTCGATCTTTGTTCTTCCACACTCTATTCTGCTGGTCCCTGCTTTCCCAGACGTCTCCCGGGATCGCGTTGGGCTTCTGCGCAAACTGCGGCCACTGGCACCCACATTTCTGGCAGTGTGGGTTTGCCGCCACTCTATCCTGGTAGATCCAGCTCTTGGGACCACACTTTCTGCACACACTGTAGGCACGCGACATGCCTGCTTTGCTCACGTTCAGCTGCCGCCTCTCTTCAAGAAAACTGTACGACAAGAAAAGTTTGGCAACAAACTAGGGCGTTTTTGCAAGCAAGGCCCTCAAAACAAAACTCCCTTTTCCAAGAAAATCAAGCGAACTGTGCAAGCAAGATTGTTACAAGGTTTAAGGGTTTGTGCAAGCTGTTGGTTGCAATGGCTCAACTACGCACACCGGAGTGTATCTGCAGCTACCCCACCCGCGTCCCGTGCTGCACAGGCAGCCTACGAGAAAAAGAGTGGTTGATGTTTGAGACCTGTCGGGACCCACAGACTAGCTACGGCCTCAAGGCTGGGTGCCACGACGGCAACGGTGCGGCGCTTGCCAGTTTGAACCGCAACAGCTTGAGCCAGGGACCAGCCTCTCCCACCTCCTCTTGCACAGCGTAGAAGCGATAGTGACTGTTGTTTGTTCGATGGACGCACATACTGATCGCCAGAATGGTGCTGAGAGAGTTCGCCTTGCTTCTGCAGCGTTGTGCTTTCGAAGTTGTGTGTCCTTGTTCCAGGAACCCTTGCGACCAATCTCCCACGGACTTTGTCACCAGGAGGGTCGGACTCACCGATTCAGAAGCCTCCGGTTGAGGGAACTTCGATGTTCGAACCCTGGTTCGAGGCCCGAACTCTTCTTGGTTCGTAGTTCCAGAACCGTTCGGAACTCTAAGTTCCAAACCTTGGGTTTGAACACCCCTCAAAAACCCATGTAGAACGTTCCTCGAGGACGATTTAGTGGGTGTGGACACTTAGGAGCATAGTTTCAGCGCGTGAGGCGCACATGCTTCTGAATTTCAGGCTCAAGGGCGCCAAAGCTAGGCCACCCCGTGACGCAGCAGCAAGTGTCCACCTTTCAGCGCTGGGAGCACTTCTTAGCTTTAACACCACAGAGCTCCAACAGCTTGGCTTGGTCTGCACTGTGGACTTGCCCCAGCAGAAAGTATGTGGGCGCCATCACATCGGCCTTGCAGCAAAATCACCTGTCGGCTACAGTGGCTGGGAAGTGTGTGGGCCAGTGGGCCATTGTTCAGCTGTGGCTCTCGGCTCGACCTCTTCGTGAACTTTCTTGCGGTAGTCAGGTTACTTGGTGAGTGCTCCAGGCTGCTCTGGTCGGCTTCTGCTTGTTCATGTGCACTTCAGGGCCCATGCTTGTTCCGGACACAGTGGCTCGCAGAGCGTTGCTATGAGCTGTAGCGACCAGCGGTGTGGTAAAGGCTCATTTGATGAGCTTTCTAGCCTTTCCTCGCCTTGATCACGCTCTACAAGCGCGTCTGCGAATAAGAGTCCGTCCGACAAGACAAGCCATGCCTGCTCCTGCGTCGGTTCTGCGCGGGCTATTTGTGAGTTGCAGTACGAGATGCGCACAGCGCGCTCCATGAAGAAAAAATTTCGCCCTACTACTGCTTCACTACAGGAGAAGCTCCAGCTTCTACTCGGAAGTCGATATGTTGGTGAAAGACCCAATTTGGGTTTCGCTCTGGCCGCTCCGTTACCAAGCCTATACACAAATGATGCCGCCTTTTGGAGGTTCATGAACGCCAAACCGAACCTTTTCATGTCATTATGCCATGTTCCTTGATTCGGCCAAAACCTTTGATTCTGTCACTTTCTCCGCAAAAAATCCAGACTTCTCTTCAGTATATGGGAGTGGAGTGCCTGCCCGGCGGGCTGTCTCCTCTCTTTACAATAACCCCACTTTCACGGTTCGTGACAGTTTTCAGCGCTCCGACAAAAACATTTTTTCGGCTGTAGCACTCGGTTCCCCACAAACAAACAAACACGAACAAGCAACCAAAAAAAGCGGTGAAACACAGAGGAAACAGTGCGGCACGCAGACTGTCGGCGCAAGCCGTTCAATCGAACTACAGCCCTCTCAGCGACAGAATGGAAGGAGCCGTCACTCCAAGTAGTCCAACAGTGAGCAAGACTGGTGCTCAGCCACACTCCAATCACTGACTGCACATCTTGCTTGGCTTCAACCATCTTGAAAGGCTTTAATCTTCCGAAGCATGCAAAGAGCTGGTAATTCTTACAAGGCAAATAATTTTTCCATCTTTGCTTGCAGAAATTGCACGAATTCTGCACAAGAAATGCACCAGGAAAGCTCCTTTCCAGCCTAAAACCAGGTTCAAAACCACAACACTTGCGCTTTTTGGTGGAACCAGTTCCAACCAGGTACGCAGATTTCAGCCCAGGTTCCAGCCTTCGGGCCTGTCCAGCTTGGATCTGGTCAGAATCCAGATTGAACCTGACATTCACCCAGTTTTTTGAAGCTGGCTCAAAGCAAAGCTTCGAATCTAGGTTCGAACCTGGGATTGAACAACTTCTGATTTTTTTTTTCGCGTGGGCGGGCCTCGACTACGGCTGTAGCACTCAGTCCCTACAAACAAGACAAACCAACAAACGAACACAAACAGCGGTGAAACAGGGCGGCTCGATAAAAAGACAAAAAAGCTAGCTGCGGCGCACAGGCTTCGCCGGTGTTGGCCGTTCAGCACGAGCTACGGGGCCTCAGCAACCGATCTACAGCCGTCGGAGCTGTCCAAGACCTCTGGCGGCGGCCGTCCTAGTTCCGTCTCCAATTGCTGGTTTCTGGCGTGAGCGGGCCTCGTCGACTACAGCTGTAGCACTCGGTCCCTACAAACAGACAAACCAACAAACAAACGAAAATAGCGGTGAAACAAATTAACAGAGGTCGACAACTAGCTGCGGCGCACAGGCTTTGCCGGTGTTGGCCGTTCAGCACAAGCTACGATGCCTCAGCGACCGATCTACAACAACCGTGGGCCGTCGCCCAGAGCTGTCCAAGACCAACGGTGAGCCCAAGTCAAAGCTCCGGCCGCCGTTCTAGTTCCGTCGTACAACGGACAGCCCCGAGGTCTTGTTGTGTCACGATTGTGCACGGAAATCCACAAGTCCACAGCCGGCAACCAGTGGCAGGTGCCAGAAAAGACCTTTCGACGTATGTCGAATGTCATGGACAGTGGAATTGACCGATGGACCCAATTCCTTACCGGGCACGCTCCGAAGTCGAAGGGGATTGATCCAGCTGGCGCTGCATGTCGCTGCCACTGGTCGGGAAATGAGATTTCCGCATGTCAACGTCAGGCTCATAAAAATCCGTCTCCAATTGCTGGACAGTTTGGAAGAAATAATGTTCGCCGAACACTTTCTCCGTCGCACTGTTCACGCAGCACGATTTGGAGCTTTTGTCCAGCCCTGCGTGGACTATCGGTCAATTGTGGGCTGCTTTGGGTCTCCGCGGATGGAACAATGTGCGATTTTGGAACTTGGCCGCCAGACGACACTGGACCGCACCCAGTAACTAGCAGCGTCTGGCCATGCCGTCGACATGCGTTTTTGTGTCAATTGCTGCGCCTTTGACTTAGGTCTGGATTTTTGGCTTTCGTGTGCACGATCGAGACACAACAGGCTCCGGGGCTGACCGTTGTTCAACGGAACTAGAACGGCGGCCAGAGCTTTGACTTTGGGCTCCACCGATGGTCTTGGAAGCTTTGGGCGACGGCCTTTTTGCTGTTGTAGATCGGTCGCTGAGGCCTCGTAGCTCGTGCTGAACGGCCAACACCGGCAAAGCCTGTGCGCTGGCTGGCTTTTTGGTCTTACTTCCAGGACACCTGTTTCACCGTTTGTAGGGACCGAGTGCTGCAGCCGCAGTCAACGAGGCCCGCTCACGCCAAAAAAAAAAAGCATGCGTTGGTACTCTCTATTTTGCTATCGGTGGTAACTGTGAGGTGCGTCCAAGTTCTCTCCAGGCTTCACTTGTATGAGGCCGTTGGACTCACAAAGTTTGTGTACAACCTCGGTGCGCGTCAACCATCCAGTCACCCTGTCGGCTCTACGAGCCAAACGTGCTGGTGCTTTTGAGTTCCCTTGGTGGGAGCGTGGCTCACACTTTTCCAGTGGTGCTTCAAGATGCTATCCTCCCTTCCAGGATGTATGTTTGATATTTTGTTTTCTTACTGGTTATTGCTTCCGCCGCTGTTTACAACGGAAGGAGGGATGCATCTCGGTAAGTGTCGATACTTCGGTATCTTGCTTAACTTGAATACTTTACCGCCACCGCCAAAGGAAGGAGGGGTCCGAGTGCAGTGCGTTTGCGAGACCGGATGAATATTTCATAAATTCACACCCACTATCCTGGAATTATATATCTTCGGACTTTCTGATTTTGGAAACTTTGCTTTTTTGGCGTGAGCGGGCCTCGTCGACTACAGCTGTAGCACTCGGTCCCCACAAACAGACAAACCAACAAACAAACGAAAACAGCGGTGAAAACAGGGCGGCTGGTTAACAGAGGTCGACAACTAGCTGCGGCGCACAGGCTTTGCCGGTGTTGGCCGTTCAGCACAAGCTAACGATGCCTCAGCGACCGATCTACAACAACCGTGGGCCGTCGCCCAGAGCTGTCCAAGACCAACGGTGGAGCCCAAATCAAAGCTTCGGCCGCCGTTCTAGTTCCGTCGAACAACGGACAGCCCCGAGGTGTAGAGCTTCGCTTTGCTGTCTCACCGCTTTGTGAGTTTGTAGTTTGTGTTAGTTTCGCTTGCTTGTAGGGACTGAGTGCTACAGCCGTGGTCGACGAGGCCCAAAAAGCCTCATCCAAATGTTCTTCGCAAGAAGATGGCCAACTGCAATAGGCAAACGCCACCGTGGCGCCGACTCCAACACCGAGCAATCCAGAGGAGCTCAAGCACCAATCCGCAGCAGGGTATCCCTCTTCTTCATTGCGGTGTCTTGCTCCCGGTACAGTTGGCGAGAGACATCTAGATAAGGCTGCCATCGCGTACAGGGGATTTCCGTCCTGTAAGAGCCTGTGGAGAGAGCTTTTGAGCTCCGACAGTTTGTCAAGGGAGCAGCCACCACCAAATCTCCGGCCGGGCCAGTTCGTACCAGGACAGGTCGAAAACCTGTCCTTCCGCCAAGCGCAGGACTGATCACAAAACTGGGCCA